CTTGGTACAGAGGCGGCCATCGCCAAACATGCTCCTTGGAGGAAAGGATTCCCTGTCCCCAAAGGCTTTGGGCAGTCGGAGTGTTCCAGAAGCCTCGAGTCTAGGTTGCCAGGGGGAAAAGCTGGGGGGGGGGGGGGGGGGGGCGAGCTCCGTTAACTTAAAGGGGGAATGGGGGCTGTGGCTTTGTGGTGTAGCGCTCTCCTGAGACCTTTGGCACCCGCAAGGCTATGACAGAAAGGGACCAACAAGCTCTCCTCTGGAGACAGATCAGTGCAGGTAAACCGGATTTCAACATACCCTGTCCCATATATGTCTGTAGCTGAAACCTTCAGAATCATCAGGGAGATATCCCCCAAGGTCATCGCCTGCTCGACGGCACTGGCCTGGGACCTCAGAAAAGGGGTTTAGGGGTTTAGGAGCTACTGATTCCTAGGGTCTACGGAGTCTGTTGCAGAGGCTGCAATGACCCCAGAAACGCCGTTTTTGTCACAGTGAGTCGGGGCTTTGGGGAGGGTCCGGGGTTTGACTGTAAAGACTTCGTAGCTGAACCGGAAGCGCAAGCTAAAAAGACTTGGAGTTGTAAGCATCGCTTTTCTGGCCAACGAGTAGCTGTGATCCTGGTGGAAAGCCGCAAAGCCTTAAACCCCAAAACCCTAGAACACCCGCTTCAAGCCGGTAACTAAACTGTACCAACCAGTATCTAAATCCAGCCAACCCTACACTCTGCCTGAATCCTAAGCCAGCACCCGCAAACCATCGCACTCGAAGCCCCAAGCCTCAAAGCTCCATGGCAATCCCTGAATCCTGAATGACAAAACAATCGGCCCTCACATTCAGAGCCTCCGCAAATGGCAACACCAAGATGCAGTACACCAAAAAACCAAAACCCCAAAGGCCTCAAAGCCCAAGAACCAAAAACCCTGCTCACCCAGTCTGTTGAGGACAAGACGAAGGCCTTCGGTATCGACTCTGCCAACGTCTTCGGCTTCTGGGATTGGGTGGGTGCCGTGACAGCACTTGGAGGGGCGGTGTGGGAGCATGGTTTGCCCTTAGAGTTCCGAGGTTGATGAAGGGGTAAGGGTAAGGGGTTTGCCGCGTCCCATGCTTCAACACTTAGCTTTCTTATGTTTGTAGACATCACGCTGGGTGGTGGTGTTCATTTTGTGTGGTGCGTCGTGTGTTGTTGGTGTAAGTTATTCAGTTTATTCTTTTTGCAACGCATGCAGTAAGTACAAGATCGTAGCCTTCTCTCCGAACACCTGTTTCGTACAGCACGGATTGGAAAAGTAACTTGCCTAGCCATGAGCCCGCCGTGTAATTCGACAAGGTTCCCTAATCAGTTTGAAACGGCGTTGATGATCCAGCCTCCTGTGCAGCAGTATACGCATCCAGTTAGTACACACCTGGCTAACATGTTTCGAGGCAGGATGTAGCATGTGACAGCTTACTGGGCAATGCTATTTCCGAAAGGTCATGTCACGTGAAATTTGCGGAAACCGACACCGCGGATTGTGGTTTAAGTAGAGTGCTTCAGTAGATATATAGATCTAGTTGCCTCTCCAACCCAAAAGCTTACCATGGCTATAGTTAGTGTCGATGCAAGCCGAAGTCCGGTTCAAACCCTTTCAGTAGAGGTCCTACGTATGTCATGTTGGTGGGACAACATACCCACTGCCCACGAGAAGGACCCCGCTGTCTAATCTCCTCAACCCTAGAACCCCCTCAACCTGAAGCTTCTGTCCTTTACAGGGACCAGGGTGTTCTGAAGAGGGATGCTCATATACCAGGTGGCCGCTTTTCCGTTTGCAGCGCGGTGGGTGTCGTGCCGCTCGCGTTGCAGTGCCCTGGCCGCAGCTAGGTGAGCTTAGATCTTTCTGGAGTAGGTTTGGGGATGAGCTTAAGACCAGGCTCTCAGGGCATGGGACGCTTGGCTATGATTTGGGGGTTTTGTGTTTGGGTTTCATACTTTCGCTTAGTTTGCGAGCCTCTGTGAAGTCTCAGTTCCTGCCTTTTTGCGGGCAAACACGAACTCAAAGCAATGACAGCCTCTTCAGCCCCCAAGCTCAAGAAGTCAAAGCCGTAGAATCTTGGGGTGTAATCAAATTATGGGGTTCAGAGTTTTTCAAAAACCCCCAAAACCCTAAACCCTGAACCAGTTTTGACAGGTACGGCTTTGATGTCGTTCAAAAGTTCCTGGCGGGCTGCCGGGCCATGGACCTGCACTTCCGGGATGCGCCGTTAGACAAGACGCCTGGGCATGACCAGGGCCGTTTGGGCTATTTGAGGTTCCTCTAATAATAGGGGCCTTAATAATTAGAGTTAGAATAGGGTTCTGGGGTATATTAGACTATAACTCTAATAAGATACTTGTAATTATTAAGGCCCCTATACTATACCGTATACCCCAAGCCTCTTTATTCTATTCCCTGAAAAGTTCCTTGCGACTCCAAAATTGCAGGGATCGCCATCCCGAGCTTTGGCCAAACGCTCATCCCAAACCGGTTTTAGGGTTTAGGGTTTAGGGAGGGTTTTAGGGCTTAGGGCCGTCAATCCGAGGAACCTTCCGAGCATCCTTGGCTTGCTTTCCGTTTGGAATGCCTCCTGCCTTGGCTACGAGGCTCTCCGGCTCGGTTGCCTTTGTTTGTTGTTGCGGGGGGGGGGGGCTTGGGGAAGCAGAGGCTGTATTAGTATGAGCCCTCTGGTCCGGTAAGCAGAAGTATTGCTATGACATCGGGTTTGGGGTTTTGGGTTTTGGGGTTTAGGGCTTTAGGGCTTTAGGGCTTTAGGGCTTTAGGGTTTATTAGGGTTTAGGGTTTAGGGTTCTCTTTGTTGGTCGCCGCAGCAGCCAAGACCCCTGTGCCAAAATCGGAAGTCTGGGAAGGATCTCGGGGCTCTCCTTCGGAAGTCTTGTGCATCCAATGCCCAACACACTCTCAAAGGGATGGTAACCATCACCATCTTTCTTTAGTCAGGTGCCCCCAGGGGGCTTGATAGGTATATGATATGGGACTCTCTAATCGATATCTTCCTTAGAGTAGCGCTGGCGAGCTCGGCTCTTCAACCCCCCCCAGGTTTATAGGGGATGTCTAGGATCCGAGGGGGTTCAGAGGGGGGGCAAAAGAACCCTCGGCCCGCCAGGGCTGTGCTGTGCTGCCGTACTGTCAGGCCTTGGTGTGTCTCAGCTCGCACAGTTTTCGGCCCTGGAGCTTTTCTTCGGGAGTCTAAAGCAAGGCTTCAGGAACTTGGTTCTAGCTATCACAATGAGGAGACTGTATGACTTAGCATAGACCCTTGTGATTATGGTAAATCTTAACCCAAGGAAGGACAACATCTAAACTGCAACATGGATCATGAATGTGAATCTGGTTCGCAGCCTCATGCAGTACTTTTTGCTGAAGGGTATGCTGATGTGTGGGCACTCTAAGCACATGGTGCACTTGAGTTTGAGCATCTTCGTAGGCCCTTCACGGCTGCTGGATGCTTCCTGACAGAGCTTTCCACAAACAAACTCACCCGACGGATGTTCGGATTCCGGAATGTTTGCAGAGCCAAATGATCAAACATTTCAGTCAGCCCTTGCCGAGCTTCTCTAGTGTCATCATGTGATATGTAGGCTTGCCTCTTCTGTAACTAGCGCACCGCATGCTCACAGCTCAAGTTTAAAGCGAGTTGGCATAATCACAGGGTCAGGATGGCGAGTCTCCTTGGGCCTTAACCCGTCAATGTTCATGGCATCGTAAGCTGAAGCCAAAGCCACACTCAGATGTTTTATGTTAAGGCGCTTCGTGGCGCACATCCAGCAACTGGACATGGAGAGCAATGGTGTCTCGGGGGCAAAACTGGTGGGGATGACAAGGGAGCCCCTTATACCTTCCGAATTCAGAATTTTTCCTCCATGGTGAGTAATGAATTCGGGCAGAGTGGAGTCTTTTCCCTTACCTTCCGAATTCAGAAGGCGTTCTCCATGGTGAGTAATAAATTCGGGCAGGGTGCAGCCTTCGGGTCCATTTCAAGTGCTCCCTGCGCGAAGCTCCGGAGCCGGTAAGGCACACAGAACTTGCTTTGAGGTAGGACGAAGCTCGGTTCGTCCTACCTACGACCCTGCACATCCTTAGTAGTTCCGTTTTGGGATTACCCTTATAGGATCCTAAATAGAAGCCACAAAAAGGAACTACTATGGAGCCTATGGGTATGTAAAGCGCAGAAACCCAGAAGCCAAGAGGCCGCTGAAGGCCCCAAAACTTGCAGATCCGACAATCTTTGTCAGTCCCCTTGGACAGTCAGCCTCGGAGGCAAGCGTGTGCAGATGGATGGCGCTGAATGCACGGCTGCGCCGATGCACTAAGGACTTGATCAAGTTCAGTGTTTCAGGGTTCTGGCCTCCACTCTAGATTCTCCCAGTATGGTTGTTGCCGTACTTATTAGGATTGTCAGTATTTCTCGTCTGTTTTTGTTTGGTGTGCTGCATGTGCAGAGCAGACTCAGACCTTTTCCTGGCAGCGTGGGCTGATCGAGGAGGGTCAGCTAAACAGCATTTGAGTGGTTTTTCGCTTGGAAGCAAGTTTGGTAGACTCTATGTAGTCGCCTCAGTGATTAGACTAGGATTGTCAGCTATGGGGGCTCTAAAGGGGTGACTCAGGGATTTTGCTACCATGAGAATAAGCAGTAGCTACCGATGCCCTCACCCTAAACTTCCTAATACAGGTGCCTCAACAGGTAGTAGATGAGGGGTTCTAAGCTATAGCACAGCACAGAGAGACTATGAGGGCTATTCAGATCATCCAGCCGCACCATGTCACCCGAGACTTTGAAAAGTTGCGGAAGTATTTGGAGACTGAGTTTTGGAGATCGCGTTTCGGATGGCGGCATCGTCGGGAAGATTGATTAGTGACCTGCGCCAGGTGCCCACTGGTGCCATTTACTTCGGCGAACCCGGTACGAACGGCCAGCACAGCTTCTACCAGCTGATGCACCAAGGATAGCTATTTGTTGGAGCACGGGGGGCAGTTCCAGGAAAGATTTGATGAGCTTGTTGTTGCCTCTTGTAGAGTTGGAGGTTGATCCGATGGTACTGTATATAGCAGTGTGTTCCAGCAATGGGAACTGATATGAAACAGAGTCTTGCAGCCCAAACCCCCACAACGGTTACGGATGCGGTCTAGAGTCTAGAGTTTAGGCTTTAGGGTTTTTAGTTTAGGACTTTTTTGGAGGGTTTAGGAATTACTGCCTTGAAAGAGTCTAGTGTCGATGTCTCTTTGGCCTCTTTGTGGATCAGTTCTGACTCTTGCTTCCTAATGCTGGTAGCTACGTGGATAGACTCGCATCTCACCTCTAGTCTCCATTGTAGTTCCTTTTTGGGGTTACCTTTTAGGATCCTTAATATAGAATTGGTTAAACCAAAAAAGGAACTACAATGGAGACAAAAGGAAGACTTCCAGGACGCGCAATTCCGGCCGACTTCATCGGCTTCAAAGTGTCGCAGAACCCGATCAGCCACTTGGCACGTAAGATATCCGTAGGCCTGCGACCGAACCCAGGATCCCCGTTTCTTGCTTGCAGTTATGTATGAGATATATTCGCTACAGAACAATGTATCATTATGCTGTAAGGACTATGTTCCAGCAGGTTAGGAAACTGCAGAAACCCTCAACTGGAGACCCTGCAGGCCCTAAGTTGCCAACCTTTGGATCTCGACGGTTTGAAGAGTTTTGGGCGGGAAGGTTTTCAGGTTGCATTCAGGGGAGGCCTGGGGGACAGGGTGTCGAAGTTCATGTTGCTACAAGTATGTTTGGGGAAGCCTAAGGAACACTCTTCCTAGTTTAGGACCTGATCTCCTCCACCCGGCCCTGTGCGGCCCGTCCAGCCTGAGACGGCAGTTCGCAGAGCCGATACACAAGAGCACGACCTGTGGGGATTGTGCACTAGAAGGACGGAGACTGTCCGGTAAGAAGTGGTTCGCTTTTGCTGATGGTTGTCAAGTCAAAACGCGAAGCCTCGTAACTTTTCCCTTCTGTATCCAACTGAGAAGAACACTAGCTTAAAGAGGAAGCATGTCAAAACTAAAGATAGTCGCCGTCGTGGCCATTGTCGTAACAGCACTGAACTGTTGTGTCAAGACTTCTTCATTACTGAATCATCGCACCACGTCGGGATGGGACTTGCCTTGGGACCACCCGCACCTTCTCTGCGCACTGGTGGTACAACTACTGCTTCTGCTGCCAGGGAGTTTCCGAAAATTTGGGGTGCTTATAGTAAGGATCCTAGTTTTTAGGGTACCATATTATCGTCCCCTACTTTCGGAAACCTCCACCACCACCACCACCGCCGCCACCACCCACCACCACGACCGCCGCCGCCGCCGCCACCAGCAACCCGCCCGAGGCTTGGATGGCGAGCCGGTGTCCAACCACGATGAGCTTATGTCCAACTTCTTCGCGCAGCCCGACGCTCTCGCGCTGGGGAAGACCGCAGAGGAGCTAAAGGCAGTGTAGGGGTTTTGGAATTGGTGAAGTACGGCTGTTTGGGTCTATAAATGGATCTGGGGTTAGGGTTTAGGGGCTAACGCTGAGGGTTTAAAGTCTGTGGGCTGCGATTTGGGGTTTACATAGTTCAGGGCTGAAGGTTTAGCATCATCCCATCTGCCTCGATCCAACAGAGGAGCGACAGGGATTGGTTGCGGGGTTTTGAAAGCTGGTAGGATGTGTTGGGCATATCCTGAATGCCCTTGTTTTGTTTAACCCCTGGCCCCTAAACCCCCTTTAAACCCAAACCCTAAAAGAGAACCCCTCAAGTCTAGGACATTTTCAGGTGGGTAGTTACCGTTATAGGAGCCTTATAGACGGTCTATATACCATTATAGAAGCCTTCTAGAAGCCCTATATACCCTAAAGTCCCCACCTGCAGTTTCCTTTGACTTAAGCCTAAACCAAAAGATCCCTAAAGCTCGACCGGATCAGGCCGACGGCATTCCCGAGAAGCTGATTCCGCATCTGGGTCTTGGCAGTGCTGTTCGTAATGTAACAGTTTAGTGGTTTAGGGTTTAGGGTCCAGTATTACACACCCAAAACCCCTCTATTCGGCTTACAGCCCAAATTCACAAAGACTGAAAGGAAAGCCCTTGAACCATACCCCAAAGTCCCTTACACCTGAACTCGCCACACCCTGAAGCCCGAAATCCTAGCACAAGGTCCCTGAAGCCTAGTATTTCAACCCGAAACCCTACCCTAACAGTCCATGTACCCAAATAACGGGTACTTTGGCCTTAAAGTAGTCCACATATAGGTACTTTCGGGCCAAAGTATATACTATTTGGGTACATGGACCCTTGGGGCTAAGCCCTGGACCGAGGCATAAGGTCTTCACCGGAGATCGCCCCTCGAACTCTTTGCTGCTGCCCGTGTGCGATCCGCATCTTGCTGGGAGTCGGCTTAGAAGGTTTCAGGTTGAGGGTCCACGGTAGAGGCTGAGTCAGTAGTAAGAGGATCCCCTTGTAGAATGCCTTATCATATGCTCCATATTACGTATATTGAAACTACTTAGTTACTGAGGCCCCCCCCATGCTTTTGGAGGTTGACACCATGTACGCTCTAGCTCTTGGACTATTGACAGATCTGAGCATTCAGCAGCCAATGACCCTTCCTTGGGAGGAGTACCCTAAACCCGACCCCCTTAACCCCGAACACCAAGTCCTAGATCCGAGACCCTATAACAGTCTTGGATCATGGCATTGGGTCATGGCTGATCCGTCATGAAGCGATCGTGAAGTCGCTTCATATCAGTTCATAGACTAGCCACACCTGCTGTAGGACCCGCGATTTTCCAAAGGGGGACCCGCAATTGTGTGTGTGTGTGCGTTCAATTGTTAGTTGCTCCTGTGGGCGAACCGATACACCAGACACCCCTAAACCCTAAACCCTAAACACATGCCCTAGAGCTCCATGGAACCGCGGGTAGCACTCCAGGAGTTCGAGTTTCGGATTTCGGGATTAGGGCACGTGCACCGTGTGGGGTACCCGAATTGCTCAACTTTCTTGGGGTTGGAGTTTGAAGATGGTTTGAGGATTTGCCAGGTTCTTCCTGGTTTGCTTAGGTCAATTGGGGCTATAGAGGGTTTCTCGTCTGATCTTTGATCAATAGGCTTCTATTCTTAGGCTGTCCAAAATCTCAGGTTTGTTCAAGGGTGTAGTTTGCCGGGGTCTCTCAAGAAAAGCGATGATCCAAGCAGGCCTCCCTCCGAAGCCCTTACAAGGAAGCGGGAGGAGTAGTGGGGGAAGTCTTAATTCCCTAGACCCTTAAATGTAGTACCTTGTATTGGATGACCCTCTGTTATGGTTAGGATCCTGTCATAAGAAACCAAGGCAACCAAAAAACGTATTACATTTAAGGGTCTAGGTAGGGCCCTCAGCTCATAGATCCTCTCTGCGTCCCTCCCCCCCCCCCCCCCCCCC